CAGCCTTCTGGTTAGCAGTCAAGTGCCTTAGCCACTATGCTACCAGAGCTCCCTAAATCATAGATACTTTATTTTCTGATTGTGAAGCACCTCATGAAAATCCATTTCAGATGTTCCCTTTCTGCTTTTTATTTTACTCTAGGGCATCTGAGTTACAAAACAGTGTAGCTTATGACTGTGTACAGCTCCATGGAGGTTGGGGATACATGTGGGAGAACCCCATTGCCAAGTGAGTATGACTGTTCGGTTGCACTCTTCTCATGGTGTGATGAAAAAGGAAAATGTCTTTACTGTTGTTTGTAAATTAAGTATGGAAGGATAAAAGGTAGGAAATCTTTGTATTTTTCAACTGTGACTACAGAGTGTGTTCAGTCAAATGGGAGTATATTTATTTGATAGGCTTACCACTAGGATTTTAATTAATCATTTTTAAAGAAAGTAAAGAAATCAGTTTACTAAAGCTTGATCCTAGACCTTATTTGAGTCCTGATTTAGAAGTATAAATATTATCTCTTTTTTAAGCTAAAAAAATAGCACTACAGAAAAGTTAATCTACATATGAAAAGATCTAAAATACCATCCTTTAAATATTTGGTTATTTTGTTGGAAAAAAAGAAATCAAAAATATATATTTTTTCCAAATAGAACTTTTATTTCCTTCAAATTAAAAGAAATTTTATTGGCCTTTTTTTACTGCATTAAGTATGAATAAAGGAGCCCTGATAGCACAGTAAGGAGCTCTGGTGGCACTGTGGTTAAACAAAACATTTGATTGCTAACTGAAAGGTCAGCAGTTCAGTCCACCAGCTGTGCTATGAGAGAAAGATATGACAGTCTATTTCTGTAAAGATTTATGGCCTTGGAAACCTATGGGGCAGTTCTGCACTGTCCTGTAGGGCTGCTATGAGTCAGAATTGACTTGATGGCAGTGGGTTTTACGTATGAATATTCTTGTTAAAAGCTCAAAATAGTACCAGTTGGTAAATAGGCTGTGTTCTCCATCTCTATAGTTTCCTCTTTCCATCTTTTCACAGTCTTTCATAGTTTCTGTACTCGCTTAATGGCATTTGTCCTCATAACCATAGATACTTTTTTTCTCTGATTTAGCAATATTTTCAGTTTACAAAAATTTCCCAAAGAAGCTTTTGCTATATATAGAATGTGGTTCTGAATCTGAGGATGAGAGTAGTATGGCTTCTAAAAATTTTTCCAACCTTTATCTAAATGTAGAATATTTGGAGGGAAAAATTATCTAACTATTATCCAAACTGGTAGCCTAAGGCTTCAAATTTATCATTTTGGTAAGCATAATTGAAAACATTTTTATATACTTTTAGCCCTTAGTGAGGAGTATAAACATAATATGAAACTTATATTAAGTCAAGAACAGAAGCTCCAGCATAGATATAATCCACTCATTTTCTCTAGCCATTTGGCAGCTCAGAAAGCTTTAACCATGAGTACATATAATTTATAACCTTGTATAAAAGCTCTGCAACAACCAGGGCTTTTCTCTGCCTTGGGAATGTAGGCATGAAATAACTAAATCATATATATTTTTTTTTAATCAATTTTTGGACTTGGATTTTGTTATATCCTTTCAGAACTACTCCAAAGGGGTCTTAATCAAAAGCAGATTATTTTTAATCTTTGTGTAGTAGTGAAATCAGAAGCAAACACTGAGTTACACTAACTCAAAACACCAAACTTAACTGCCATCAAGTCGGTTCTGACTCATAGCAACCCCTTCTTGGGTTTCTGAGGCAGTATCTCTACAGAAGTAGATTGCCCAGTTTTCCTTCTGAAGAGTGGCTGGTGGGTTTGAACCACCAGCCTTCTGGCTAGCAGTCAAATGCCTTAGGCACTATGCCTCCCAGAGCTAACACAGATTAAATTATTGGAATCTTTCCTGTGTATTTTCATATTTTATTCACAATATTTGTCTGTCCTATTTACAATATACACAATGCTAAGATAGTAAAATAATAATGGATGTTTCTATTTTTCTTTTTAACTATGCTATTATAACTGCTGCTGGGAGTATAGACATGTAGTAGCTCAATGTTTGTCTAGTTTATTTCTTATTCTAAGAAAGGCATAGTAGATGGAAAGGGTTAACTATTTCTATGGCTCAAGATCAGATTTTGGCATAAATCTTAGTTTCTGTGTTTCTCAGAGGTGATTCCTTCAGGTCAATAGCAAGCAAACTCTGTAGCTTGATGGCTTATTTGAAATCCCTGGTTTCAATTAAAGATACTTCTGTTTCCTCTAAGGCATAATAATCACCATTCTTGGGCAGCTTGTTCAAAAAGTATAAGAACCTTTAAATTAGACTGTTACTTCTCTCCCCAAATAGTTAGGGAATAGACTTTTTTATAAAGATGAAAAGAGAGAATAGTATGTAATATCAAAATGGTAATTAGACACATAGGCAATTATGTGACTGCATCGTATAGAATTGATACCCACCCACCCACTGCTATCCAGTCTATTCCAACTCATAATGATCCTGTAACAGAGTAGCACTGCCCCCATTGGATTTTCAAGGCTATAAATCTTGATGAAAGCAGACTGCCTTTTCTTTCTCCCATGGAGCAGCAGGTGGGTTCAAACCGCTGACCTTTTGGTTGGCAGCCAAATGTTTTAACTACACCACCACCAGCTCTCCTCACAGACTTGATAGAAGAAAAAAAAAAGCACACATTTTAATTGTGTTCCATCTACCTCCCCCCACATCCCTCCGATTAACTAACATAGTTAATATATATATTGCTGAGTCTTGGTTTCATGGAGGAAAACTTTTGTTGTTGTTTGCTGTTCTTGTTTTTTGAATAAATGTTCCCTCTGTTTAAGCAAAGGAGCTCTGGTAGCACAGTGGTTAAAACGTTTGGCTGCTAACCAAAAGGTTGGCGGTTGGAACCCACCTGTTACTCCATGGGAGGAAAATGAGGCTGTCTGCTTCCATCAGAATTTACAGCCTTAGAACCCCTATGAGGCATTCTTCTCTGCCCTTTAAGGTTTCTATGAAATCAACTTGATGGCAGTGGGTTTCTGTCTTAGCATGTGGATTTAGTTGAGTCTTAGTCCTTACTCCTGGGGCTTAGGAAAAGCCAAGTTTAGGCTTTGCCGTTTCAGGACTTCTCTGCTGTGCCAGGAAGAACAGTCTGAGATGTGGCCCCTCCTCACTGTGCCTGGTTAAACATTGCTTCTGCTGCCTTTCTCTGTTAAGTTTAGTTGATGACTGAATTTAATTAGTAACCTATAAGAGGTCTACAGATCTCTGTCATTACATACTCAGTTGGAACTTCTTTGGGAAAGAAAAAAGCTCAACTCAGTCCAAAAATATGTATTGGGATTACCAAAACTAAAAAACAAATTCACTGCCGTCAAGTCAATTTGACTCACAGTAACCCTATAGGACAGAGTAGAACCTCCCCTTGGGTTTCCAAGGCTGTAAATCTTTATGGAAACAAACTTCATCTTTCTACTGTGGAGTGGCTGGTAGGTTCAAACTGCTGACGTTTTTGTTAGCAGCCCAATGTTTTAACCACAGTGCCACCAGAGCTCCTTCGGAATTACTAAAGAAGGCTGAAATGCCAGGTAGGTCCTCAAAATGCTAGCATTGGCTTTTGTGGGGAAGAACCCAAACAAACCCAGAATCTGTTTAAAAGAAGAAAAAAAAGTTTGAAAACACAGACGTTGGTAGATTAGAAGTTACATCAGAAAGTAGGCACCAAGATTTTAAAATTCCTTTGTAATGTAGTAAATCAAGTCAGTAAATACTGACTGAGTGCCTACTGTTTGCAAGGTTCCACTCTTTGGAAGGAAGATGGGGCAATCTACTTCCATAGTGATATCACCTCAGAAACACAAGGAGGGGTTGCTATGAGTTGGGTCCAACTCAATGGCACATAACAACAACAACAACAACAGTAATGAATATGAAGAAGTCTAAGTCCAAAATTGATCATATTCTTAAAGAGTTGGGACATTTAATTTGTCTTAAAAATTACATTAAAAATCCAACAAACAAATTTTATGCTTGGGGGAAAAAAAAGCCTGTAAATTCATTTACTAGGAGAGTTCAAAGTTCAATAACTAGTCTTTAATGCTTGGGCCAATGAAAAGATTGTCATATAATGAAAAAAGACACTGGCCAAAGAGGCAGGACCCATACATTCTTATTCTAGTCCCAATTTTCTATTATATGGCCATTAAATACCAACCATTAATTAGTAAATGTGTTAACTTCTCTGCCCGTTAGTTCTTTTACCTGCAAGAGGCTATTTATTCTCTCTAATCTCGGAGGTGAAAGGATTAAATGAGATGAGAAAAAGCAAAAACAGTACAGTGTCATGGTTACAATCATCACTACCAAAAGTAAACTCCTAATTGCATTTTTTTGTGTTTCTCTGGCAGTAGACTCAGCTGCTCAATACTTTAAACCTCATACATTACTGGATCAGCTATTAAAATCCACCAAGCACACTGCCATGAAGTCGATTCCAACTGAAAGAAATCCTGCAGGACAGAGTAGAATTGTCCCATAGGCTTTCCAAGGCGATAAATCTTTATGGAAGCAGACTGCCTCATCTTTCTCTTGCTGGGTGGCTGGTGTGTTCGAACCATCTACTTTTGGTTAGCAGCTGAATACCTTAACTACTGCACCACTAGAGCACCTTGGAGTTAACTATAAACCATTTCAAAAAAAAATAAGTTAACTTGTCAACTTCATGGAAAGCACTATTTTCTAAAGTATTATTGTATACCCTTGTAGGAGAAAGCAGTTGTGGGATCTAAAGGGATGCTAGAAAACATTTTGTTAAAAACATTAAGGATAACAAGAAATTAAGATGTTCCATGCATTTCTAAATGTAAAAGTTTTTTTTTAGAATGCTATTTTATGTGCTACATTTTACAGAATTAAATCAGATCAAACATACTTATAAATGCTTTTTTTGAATTTGTTATATCCTCAAGCAAACTAAAAGCTATACAGATTATCAGGATTTTAATACTTATTTTTTTAAAAAAAAAAGTTATGTCAATTTGGGATTAATGCCATACTGGAAAAATAAATTTGTACGAGAATTTTTTTGTTTGGAGTTTATTAAATGTATACTTCAAAGTGAGACAAATTTTACAAGTTCTAATATTTTATTTATTCATTCATTCACCTTCTTATTTATCTAGAGCTTATGTGGATGCTCGAGCTCAGCCAATCTATGGTGGTACAAATGAAATAATGAAGGAGCTGATTGCAAGAGGGATCGTCCGTGATAATTAGACATCTGCCCACATCCTGGAATCCTATTACTGCTAATCTGGTTTTAAATCTACTCAAGATAAAATACAACCTGGAAAGGGGGAAAATACTAAACATCGTTATGTATGTTTTCACTATAGAGAAATAAATAAATTGTAAATATAAGATTAACACACTGAACGTAGAAATCTTTGAATCCAGAGATTCTGAAATTCTGCAATATAATTCTGTTATATACCTAAAGGTCAAAGATCTTTCACACATGTATTCATAAAATTATACCTAAAATTCTAAAAACCATTATTGCCTAATTCTTTTAAATTGGGGCAGAAATAATTTTGTATTGTTATACTCTAAAACATTAATAATATTTACAGCATGTTGTCTTTTAAAGGGAAAAAGAAATATAATTTAGAATGTTAAGTAATCAATCAGCTTTTGCTCCAAACTTCCCAAAACAGTGGTTTTCACTCTCCTACCCCACCCTAGGGCAGATTACTGAATAAACAAAGTAAATATGGATTTACTTGTGCTTATTTACTAATATGTAGTGAACAGTTTTACCTCGGAAACCCAAAGATGGGTCACTATGAGTCAAATTGACTTGACAGCAGTGAGCAGGGACTGTAAATTTGAAAGGAGGTTTTGATTCTATAGGAAGGTGTTGTGGGGTTGGAAAACAGATGCCAGCCGTACTGAGAAGCAGAATTTTTGATGTAGTGAAAAATGTGAAATTGTTCACTATAGATTTGTAAGTAAGCCTGTGCTTACGTTGTTTATCGGATAATGTGATCCCCCCCCCCCCATTTTTAAGCAAGGGAACCCTTTCTTCAAACAAAAGCTTATGTAGAAAGCTCCAGTGTAAGGTGCTGAATGCAGAGTTGCTCTGCTTGAAGCAGAGAGTCTTCCTTACAGCGATGGAACCCCTCATGTTCTGCTGATCATTGCCTAATGCCTTCAGAAAAGTCTCTGAACTACTGGCATCTGGGCTTTCCTCATATTTCCATGCCAGTTTAATTTATAAGAGACACAGAATAATCTGTCATCCTTTAATTTTGAGATACATTATATAGATATCAAAGCAATGACTTTCATTTTAGAACAGTTTATTTATTAATTTAACAAATACCTTGTGTCTTCTCTGAGCCACAAAGTATTTGTTAAATTAATAAATAAACTGTTCTAAAGATACTTTAGGAGCTCTGCTAGCATAGTGCCTAAGGCTGGCGGTTCAAACCCACTAGCTACTCCTCAGAAGGAAGATGGGGCAATCTACTTCCGTAGTGATACTGCCTCGGAAACCCAAGGAGGGGTCGCTATGAGTCAGGTCCGACTCGACAGCAGGTAACAACAACAACAAAGATACTTTGTGTCTTCTCTGTTAAAAATAATGATAGTAAACAAAACTGGCAAGATCCCTGTTATGAATAAGTGATTAAACAGGTAATAATAAACAAGGTAATAAGTTAACAAGATGATTTCAAATTGTGATAAATCCAATAAAAGAAATAAATAAGGTAAGCTTTTAAAAAAGAAAAGTGAAGACATATGACTTGAGATGTAGTGCTTATTATCAAAAACTAAACCATTAATTTAATTTGTAATTACCTAGCATCAATTCGTTAATGTACTTGTCTGCTAACCAAAATAGTGGCAGTTTTAGTCTACCACAGACTGCCAGAAAAACTAACAAATCTGTCCTGGAAGAAGTGTAGCCAGAATGCTCCTTGGAAGCAAGAATGGCCAGATTTCATCTCACCTACTTTGATCACATTGTCAGAAGGGACCATTCCCTGGAGAAGGATATAATCCTTGGTGAAATGGAGGGTCAGTGAAAAGGGGGAAGGCCCTTAATGAGATGGATTGACACAGAGGCTGCAGTGATGGGCTCAGGTACAGCAAGGATTGTGAGGCTGGCGCAGGACTGGGCAATGTTTCACTCTGTTGTACACGGGGTCGCTATGAGTCAGAGCTGGCTCAACGGCACCTAACAACAACAGTCCACCCAGAGGCACCTTGGAAAAAAAGACCTAGTAATGTACTTCTGAAAATGGGTCATTGAAAACCCTATGGAGTACAGTTCTACTCTGATACACATGGGGTCGCCATGAGTCAGAATGTACAGTACTGGACTGGAAATGGGCACTTGAAAGCATTATTTCAGTATTTGTTTTCCTTTGCATATAATGGTGAGTCAGTGAACAAGGTAGTTTTTAAATGGAAAAAGATAGTTGTATTCCTCAGAAACTCAGAAAACCTTAACATTTTATTTGCTATTATTGGTACTCAATGTTTTGAGTGTTTTAATACAAATTACAACTTATGGCATAGTGCCTAAGTCATTTGATTACTAACCAGAAAGCTGGTAGTTCAAATCTACCAGCCACTCCTCAGAAGGAAGACTGGGTGATCTACTTCTGTAGAAATACCGCCTCCGAAACCCAAGGAGGGATCGCTATGAGTTGGAAGTGACTCCACGGCAGTGAGTTTGGTTTTCTTTTAGAGCAGAAAGAAGAAAAATATTTTGATACTCTGCTTTCCTAGAATTGCACACCTTTGATTTGCTTGTATGTTTGCCAGCTTAGGTCCCTGCTCATATACATTAAATATCATGCAAAATGGGTTTCAAACCTTACTAGATATTACTGTATTTGTAGCTTTTACCGTCTCATACTACCGGGAAATGATATAGAACTGGACAGACCTAGACCTCCCCCCACATACCCCAGAGACCCCAGGAGGTGCAATGGTTAAGCACTAGGCTGCTTAATTGAAAGGGGCCCTAAAGTTGGAGCCCACCAGCCACTCAGCAATTTTGAAAAGACCTGGAGATCTGCTCCCACGTAGATTAACCAACCCATTGCTGTGAGTTGATTCCAATCCATAGTGACCCTATAGAACAGAGTAGAACTGCCCATAGAACTTCTAAGCCTGTAATCTTCAGGAATGCAGCTTGTGACATCTTTCTTCTGCAGAGCAGCTGGTAAGTTCAGTTAGCAGCTGAGCACTTAATCACTGCACCACCAGTGCTCCTTCTGTGATGATCACAGCCTAGGAACCCTATGGAGCAGTCTACTCTGTCACATGGGGTTGCTGTGGGTCAGATCAACTTGATGGCACGCAACCACCAGGCCCTCACAGTCCCTTTTCCTTCCATTCCAATCTTAAAGAACACTAGATTTTAGGAGTACATCTCTATGAGAAAAGGGAAACTGGCATGGTAGGAAAAGCTTATTATGTAGAGGTAGACAGAGGTAGATTTGAATGATAGGTCTACCATGTAGGGGCCATTGTACCTTAAGCAAGTTATTTAACTTCCCAGGATTCTTTGAGGTGTGAATGACAAAAGAAACCCAATCCAAGATAACCTAAATAAAAAATAGGGTTACAAAAGCCTGATTCTGGAGGCTCAGAACTGAAAGCAGGGTGGTATTATCACAAGAAAGGAAACAGGTCAGGCAGATCTAAATCACACTCCATCTGTCTCTCTCTCTCTCTCACACACACAAACACACACACACACTCACAGCTACTGCAGTCCAGCTAGGAGTCAAAACAAAAACCAAACCCACTACTATCAAGTTGATTCTGATAGAAACCCTATAGGACAGAGTAGAAATGTCTCATAGGGTTTCCAAGGCTGTAAGTCTTTCGGAGGCAGACTGTCTCATCTTTCTTCTACAGGGTGGCCGGTAGGTTCGAACCGCTGATGTTTTGGTTAGCAGCCAAATGCTTTAAACACTGCATGCTAGTAATTTTTACACATCAGAAAGTAAAAGGATCTTTAAGATGGGATATTTTCTTGGAATGACCTCTGGGATGTTTTCTGTCTCTTCTAAGCCAATTGTTTTCTCTGTCTTATCAACTTCAGTCTAGTTTTACACCCCCAAAAGAAGCATGAGTTGTATCATGGCCTTAAAGCTAAAAGCAAAAAAGGGGATTCAGGGTGTGCTTTTTAACCTTTCATTTGGTTTTCATTTCTTAGCTAATCTTTGTGTTTTGCCTGTGTGGCTTTGATTGTATCAAAGTGCCTGTATCTCATGCAGTGCTGAGTGCTCAGAAAATTATAATAATAATGCTGAAAAGAACAGAGTACACCAACACAACAAGAAAGAAACACTGTGTAAATAATTAATGAGAGTTAAAAAGCCTGAGTAATTTTGTTTCTTGGTGAGATTTTTTAGGTTCAGAATTATTGCTTTAAAATTGTGTTTGCCCCTTGTTTCTTTGATGGTGTAATTGAAAATGACAGTATGCAAAAGAAATTGTTTTGGTTTGCAATTTAAAAATCTAACTCTGCAAATCTTTACTAAATCTAGTAATTTTAGTAGTTTATGGCTCAAAGTATAAGATTTCTAGATTGTATTTTTTTCATATGTCAGTATTATTTTTGGCACACACAGCATTTATTTACTTGGAACATTAGAGAATTTGACGTCAAGATTGAAACCAACTGTAGATTTATCATGTCTACTGTTTTAAAATAAATGTTGAAAAGAAGTTCTACTCTGTTTTTGAAATCTGATTTTCCATTTTTAAGAAAAGACTATGGAAAACTTCAAACATATTAAACATACAGAGTGTAATATAAACAACCTCATCTTTAACATTTATCAACATTTTGCCAATCTGTCTCCTCCATTGTTTTCATGAAGCTTCTTTTAAAGCAAATCCCAAACATCTTGCTATTTACACACACACATATTTCAGAATACATATCTAACTGATGAAGAATATTTTCACATAACCACAAGGCCATTCCAAAACCAAATCCATTGCCATCAAGTCAATTCTGACTTATAGAAAACCCAGAGAACAGAGCAGAACTGCCTCATGGGGTTTCCAAGGTGTAAATCTTTATGGAAACAGAGTGCCTCATCTTTCTCCCATGGATTGGCTGATAGGTTTGAACAACTGACCTTTCAGTTAGCAGACAAATATATAAACACTGCACTACCAGGAGCTCCTTATAAATCATTAAATTTAGTACATAATTCCAAGTTCACATTGAATTTTCCTTGATTGTATCAAAAATGCCTTTTGTTCCTGGTTTCTTCAAATCTAGATCCAAGCAAGGTCCACAAGTTGCGTTTGGTTGTATTGTCTCCCAAGTCCTTTTATAACAGTTCTTCCTCTTCCCACCTTTTCTTAAAATTTATTTTTTTAATTAA